AGTGATATCATCACTGTGCTGCACATAGCTTGTGCAAAGAGTAAAGCTGTGGGAGGGGCCCAGCATGCCCTGCCCACTATAGGCTGCCTGTAGATAACTGCAGGAGGGGGTGGAAACAAGACCAGCCACTCTGCACATGGAGAAAGAGCAGCAGTGAGCGGTCTTTTTTACAGGTGGGTGTAGAGACAAGATCAGTCACCCTGCACAAGGGGAGAGCGCAGCAGTGACCGGTCTTTATTACAGGAAGTGGCGGAGATAAGACCAGTCATCCTGCACAAGTAGAGAGGGCAGCAGTGACTGGTCTTTTTTACATGAGGGGGCCGGGACAAGACCAGTCACCCTGCACAAGTAGAGAGAGCAGAAGTTACTGGTCTTTATTACAGGAGGCGGCAGAGACAAGACCAGTCACCCTGCACAAGTAGAGAGAGCAGAAGTTACTGGTCTTTATTACAGGAGGGGGCAGAGACAAGACCAGTCACCCTGCGCAAGTAGAGAGAGCAGCAGTGACCGATCTTTATTACAGGAGGGGGCAGAGACAAGAGCAGCAGTGACCGGTCTTTTTTTACAGGAGGGGGTGGAGACCAGACTAGTCACCATGCACAAGTAGAGAGAACAGCGGTGAGCGGTCTTTATTACAGGAGGGGGCGGAGACAAGACCAGTCACCCTGCACAAGGAGACAGAGCAGAAGTTACTGGTCTTTAATAACAGAAGTTACTGGTCTTTAATAACAGAAGTTACTGGTCTTTAATACAGAGACAAGACCAGTCACTCTGCACAAGTTTAGAGTGCAGCAGTGAGCGGTCTTTATTACAGGGAACACTAGATTACTGCGCAGATCTAGAATGAATCCTATCAAAAGGTCTGTGAATGGATGGCACTCACGCAGCCACACTGAATTCAAATTATGACAGGAGCCTGCAAGCCTGCTGTCTTCCCAAAGATCTGACACAGATCAGCCCCTTGCTGTAGCCTCTCACCTTGTGACTTGCTACAAAGTTACAATATTGCAGTCTGATCACTGGGGGGAGAGGAGACTGAGGAAATGCTTCTTCCTGCCTGCAGCAGACTGATAACATCATCTCAGCCTAGGCAAAGTCACTGCACTGAAGCTCCAAGACTGCTTTTTAATGTTCATAATATGTTGAGCTTTTTTTTTTCTGAAAAATTAAACTGTTGCCGCATATTGCTGCATACCGGGAATGTATTCAGTCAGAGGTGTAAAATGACTGAAAGGGCAAAAAATGGGGTAAAAAAGGGTCTTTGTGATGAATTGTTTGCTGATTCTCCGTATGGATTGAAAATAGATTTTTTAAACATTTGCTTGGAGTCCTCTAAAGAATAGAAATACAGATTTGCAAAAGGTCTTCATATCCTTGAAGAAATGATGAATCCTTCCAGAGGTTCTGTAGCCGATTCACTGCTAAGGGTTTGGGCAGTCAGAAGATTCCAAGGAGGTTATTGATTAAAGCCCCTTTATATATTGATGCTATAGGTCTGAGGAGGACTTTGTAACATCAAAGGAATTCTACTTCAATAGAACTGTGATCATTGAACTGCAGAGTATATTATTAATGTCACAGAGGTAATTACATTTTTTTCCCTTTAAATCTCTTCAGGTCGGCCCAATACCTATAAAAAAAAGGAAGTGAAATGGTATAACAGACAAGGGGAGTAAAATAACTCCGCTTAAAGTGGACCTGTCACTGGATAGGCATGAAGGGTAGGGGTAGGCAAGGGCATCCCAGCTGTCGTGGAATAACAAGTCCCATGAGGCATTGTAAGACTCTGACAGCCACAGGAATGACTTCCAGAGGTAGAGTCCTGATGAAGTGCCAAGGTTGCCTACCCCTGATTTAGGGCTTGTGTAGATCGGTGTTGTTGTCACTCTGTTTTGCATTTGAAGGAAGCGCTAACGTCCATTCACCGATTTCCTCCCCGTTCTATAGAACCCGGGAGCAACGCGTATTGCATCACGTAGACACCATTTCCAATTTATAGAGGAGCCAAATAATCTACCAGCATGTCTTTGGAGGAAAGCCCACAGGGGGAACGTGCAAACTTCATGCAGATAGAGTCTGGATTTAAACCAAGGACCCCAATGCTGTAACGCAGAAGTTCTAAGCATTTTGCCATTGTACTGGTTTACAAATTTATATCCAACCATTTACCTAGATCTCGAGTGCTGGGGATGCCTATTCTTGACCTAGAGAATAAAAAAAATCACCCTTCAGGTGGCACCTGGTATGGGGGGACGGCAATAAGAAAGAGATAATGATATACAAAGTATCCCCAAAGACTGCAATAAAGTGGTAAGATTCAAATCCAAATATGCTCTCATGTCCAGTATGTGAGAGACAACGGAAAGAGAGGAGGGCATACCTGTGTTCCCCTTCTCTTATCTCTTGTTCTTAGACATGTGTTGTGTCGGTGATATGATGAGGTCGTAGGTGCATGGCATAAACTTGGCTAGGCACACCTCAGATGCATTCCAACATGGAACACAGTCTAGTTCCTCTGTGGCAAACTGTAGGCAGGAGCGCTTAGTAAAGTTTGTATTCTCAGATTGTAATCAGTCTGATGCTGATTTGCAGTCTATGCTCGTCATCTGGTTTCCCCTAATCAGTCTGTTATCGTTTGCATCTGTCTGCTGATGGGTGTACCCTGGCCACAGAGCAGAACAACCAATGAGAGATTGTTCTGAGTATGTGTGTCTCCCTAGCCAATCACTAGGAGGTTAATGGCCAGTGGTACATGCTGGGAGAGGAGATAAATACTTGGGGTGGACCATGTGAGCTCTTTCTTCCTCCCACGGGCAGTGCCTGGGGGAAGGCTGCAATGGACTGTCTGATAGGGCTAGGCCTGAAGCCTGGGGACTAGTCATGTGCTTACACTGAGGCCTGAGTTTGGGGGCCCAGTGGCTACTACTAATACCAAGGATGAAGATGACTAATGATCTCTGATTCAAGTACTGCTTGGCCAGGTGTTCTACACACAGATTGCCATGTCTTTCAATACAGTTTTATCTTTTAGATTTAGTCAGAAAATAATTTATTTTGTGCACGGATACTGATTTTGGTGTGTTTTAACAATTGAATTGTGTATTTTTATCGGTTTAATATTAATTTGAGAAACATTTGCGCAATTATCGCAGGGCCTACAAATTTAGTATCACCATCTTTTTATTCTACCGGGCCTGCGCTTTCAGAAAATATATGGTTTGGGGGGTCTTTTACAAACGCTAGCAACGCAGCAGTTAAAAATCAAATCAATAGGAAAAAATTGCAGAAAATTCAAAAATGGCTTGGCCAGCTGATTTGAAAAATGTTCCGGAGGGCTTGGCAGCGAAAGGGTTAAACGTCCTAGTCTGTGATGGCAGCAGTTACTCTAGCCTACCACTTAAAGGAATCTACAACAGTCTGGATGATCCTGACCCTCAACCTCTCTCCCTGAAGTTCATCAATAAAGTTCCTCAGCATCATATTTATAGTCTGGACCTCGCTTTTATTGGTCACCATTGAGGGTGGTAAGGGTTAATGGGCAGTCAGAACCTGGATCCCCTAGACATGACTATAATGGATGACCCACCTTTTCTCTGTGGCTCCTTAGGGGGTGTGCTACACCTCTATCAGGTACCTGGTTGGAGGCCAACGAGAAGGCTTCCCTTCCATCCCTGGTCTGGATTCCCCCTCATGGAGTGGGGCAGAGGGAATGAGAGGGCAGAGAATGGCACGGGAGCCAGGGGTCCACATCATGGAGGCAGCTGGGCAGGACACTGGAACACACACCAGGCTGGAAGAGTGGTCTGAACAGGTAGTGGTCTGTGGCTGAGGAGACATATAACCGGCAGAGTAGCAGGCAGTGTCTTGGTCAGAAGGCAGGCTGAAATCACATCAGAAGGTCAGCAGGGACAAGCCATGGTCAGGAACTAGCCAAGGTCACAAAGGGAATGAGCAGAGACAAGCCATGGTCAGGAACTAGCCAAGGTCACATCAGGAATGAGCAGAGAAAAGCTGTGGTCATAAACTAGCTTAGGTCATAGTGGCAATGAGCAAAGACAAGACATGGCCAGGAACTAGCCGAGGTCTCACTAGGAATGAGGAGAGACAAGCCGTGATCAGGAACTAGCTGAGGTCACACTGGCAATAAACAAAGACAAGCCGTGGTCAGGAACTAGCCAAGGTCGTACGGGGAATGAGCAGAGACTATCTGTAATCACGAATTTTAGGGAGGGCCAAAGCGGGAATGAGCAAGACAAGCCATGGCCAGGAACTAGCCAAAGCTAATTACAAGGAGGCACTGGGAATGAGCAGAGACAAGCCGTATTTAGGAACTATCTGAGGTCACACCAGGAATGAGTAGAGACAAGCCATGGTCAGAAGTTATCCGAGGTCATAGTGGCAATGAGCAAAGACAAGCTATGGCCAGGAACTAGCCGAGGTCACACCGGGAATGAGCAGAGACAAGCCGTGCTCAGGAACTAGCCGAAGTTAATTACAAGGAGGCAGGGCATAGACAAGTCCAAGGACAGAACAATTCAGCAACAGGGAAGCAGATCAGGAACCGAATCTGGATTCAAGTAGCAAGGGAACAGTTGAAGATCATCCACCAACTTCCTAGTTCAGTACTGCTCCTTCAAAAGGCCGTCTGGCGCCAAGCCTGGAATTAGGCATGCAAGTCCGTACACCTGCATGCCCATGTATGTATCCCCTCAATTACTGTGTCCTCGTGTGAATTATTGTATTCTTTACTTCATTCTGTTTTTATTTATTTTCCTGACAGGCAATCCCTTCCCTCCCACTTCCCGCCCTTTCTCCTCAGCTCCTCCTCCCGCTATTTTTTTCCTCCTTATCCCCACGAGCCTTAGCTCCTCCCACCACATCTTCCCCTCCAACAGTTGCTCTTCTTCTCTCAGACCAGTCTTCGCCCCTCCTCCCCGGTCGGCCGCGCCCACCGAGGCTTGAAGATGGGAGGAGCCGGGTAGGCGGGCCCCGGGAGGCTCTGTCTGACGTCACGATTCTTCCCAGCATTCCCGAGCATTCACTGCCTTAGCAACCGCGGAGTGAGAGCGAGGCGCGGCCGGGTGAGAGGTCAGCGGAGAGACACCGAGCCAGGCAGCGGGCGGCGGCTCGGAGTCACCGGGAAGGGCTGAGGTGAGGAGAGGAGTCCCGGGAAGGGCGCGGGGGGTTTCTTACCGGTGTGTTTTAGTTTTCCGGGACCGGTTTGTGTGTAGCTGGCTTTGTCTCTGGATCACCTGTGTGTGTCAGTGCTTCCCCCTCCGCACTCCTGTCATTGGGAGGATCTCCTGCCGGATCCTCCTCTGTGTTCATGACACTGTAGGGATCTCCTGATAGATCCCCCCCTCTGTGTTCATGACACTGTATGGATCTCCCGATAGATCCCCCCCCTCTGTGTTCATGACACTGTAGGGATCTCCCGATAGATCCCCCCTCTGTGTTCATGACACCGTAGGGATCTCCTGATAGATCCCCCCTCTGTGTTCATGACACTGTAGGGATCTCCTGATGGATCCCCCCCTCTGTGTTCATGACACTGTAGGGATCTACTGATGGATCCCCTCTGTGTACCTGTCACTATAGAGATCCCCACTGTGTACCTGTCACTGTAGAGATCCCCTCTGTGTGCCTGTCACTGTAGGGATCTCTTGATGGATACCATTCCTGTACCTGTCACTGTAGGGATCTCCTCTGTGTGCCTGTCACTGTAGAGATCCACTGATCGATCCCCCTCTGTGTCCCTAGGAGGATTGTCTAATCGATCTCTTGGTAGATCTGCTCCTGTGTCTCCCTGGAATTCTTATATGTACAATGTGCTGGAGCTCTGTCTGTCTGTCTGGATGGATCATCTGCGGTTCTCTTAGATTCCCCTTTGTGTGTATGTAACAGGCAGGGATCTCTGTGGATCCTTCCTGCGTGTCTGACAATAACACGCTACCCTATAGATCCCCCTTCTTATTGGTCCGGATGATTACCTGTATCGTATACAAAGTGTCATCTTGTTTACCTTGTAACAAATGGACCCTCCCCTCCCCCCCATGAGGTCATCACTGGCACATACACCTGTGTGCCTGGCATTTGTCAATTTCTTTATGAATTTTGTTATTACTGACTAGATCACCTGTAGATCTCACCTCCTATGTTTGTAACTGACTAGATCACCTGTAGATCTCACCTCCTATGTTTGTAACTGACTAGATCACCTGTAGATCTCACCTCCTATGTTTGTAACTGACTAGATCACCTGTAGATCCCACCTCCTATGTTTGTAACTGACTAGATCACCTGTAGATCTCACCTCGTATGTGTGTAACTGACTGGATCACCTGTAGATGTCACCTCGTATGTGTGTAACTGACTGGATCCCCTGTAGATGTCACCTCGTATGTTTGTAACTGACTGGATCACCTGTTGCTCTCCAAATGTATTTACCATTGAGAGGATCACCTGTACATCCCATGCTTTATTTTGGAAGCACTGGTGACCTCCAAATGTATATATCGCTCACATGATCACCTGCAGATCTCGCCCTGTGCATTGGTCACTGATCACCCTCCTAAGTGATTGATCTGCTCTGTCAGTTTGTGATCCGCTCCCGTAGGTCATTCTAGTGTGTCCGTCACTGAGGAGATGGGATCAGTTTTGATATGACCTTTATAAACTCTCACTGGCCGGATCAGTTTGTTGATCCCCTTCGTGCTGATTACCAGTGTCTGTGTTTCACATGTAGATCTCTCCCGTGTATTAGTCACTGGTAGAATCGTCTCTGAAAGCTACTGGATCTCCTCTTTGTGTTTGCCGCAGACAGGAACACCGATGTGACTGTATGTGACTTGTATGGATCTATTCATCTTTCCTTGGCATGTTGTATGTATGAGGCAGTAGATTCCTTCTGTTTATGTTAGTAGATGTGTCCTGTTTTGTATCAATATGTGTCTTTCAGTCTCCCTCTTTGTGTCCATCACGTGGGATACTTCGCTTCCTCGGAATGGGATACTTCGAATCCCTCGGAATGGGATACTTCGCTTCCTCGGAATGGGATACTTTCACTTTATTTTTTTATCATGGGAATGTTTGTTTATTGCTGGAGGATAACATGTGTTTCGGCTCTCACCCTTTCTATCCGTCACATAGTGCCCCACGTAGATTACCAGCTTGTGGCTATCCTACAGGCAATCACTAAGCCCGTGACAAGTGCATGTTATTTGATCCTTGTCTCTCCGTCACTAACCGGATTCCCGGATCCTTCCATGTATGGCTTTCGCTTCAGTAGGTGATTAGATTACTTTTTACGTCACACTTTGTCAAGCCTGTCAGATATCTCGAGTTAGGGATTTATTGTCCTGGCAGCAGATCCAGTGTACCGGTCACCTGTGTAAGCCTCTAGCTGGCTGTGCTGTCATCGCCGTGCGTACCACTTGCTGCTGGTTGGAGCTGTTATTGTCTGCCGTGGCTGCATCCCGTGTTTGTATAGTGTGTGTGTGTGTGTGTGTGGGTAAGGGGGGGGGGGGATAATATATCGGGGTATTTGTGCAGTTGTCTGGATCTTACTCCCATTGTACCTGAAAACGAGTGGCGTGATTGTCAGCTTTGCTTGGCTGGCACTGAAAGGGTGAACGCCTTCTTTGTGATAGACTGAACACAAGCAGATACTTGTTCCTTGCAGGATATCATCATTTGTATTATTTTATTAATTAGCACAGCCTTTGGTCTGTCACCCAGCCCTTCTGGTTTGTGTTCTACATCTGCTAGCAAACTTATATTTATTTTCCTGTTTGTTTTATGTCTTGTGTATTAGGGATTTTTAGCAAATAAAAAAATATCTAACAGATTTTTAAGCACTAACAGGGTTATTCACAGAAGGGTGAAGAGTCTGGAGAAGGCAGGAGAAGGGAACAATTTAGGACAACATAGCTGAACTGGGAAGTGAGCTGAATCGGAGAATTTTTTTCCAAATCAGCTATGTTGTCCTAGATTGTTCCCTTCTCCAAACCCTTCACCTTTTAGGCCTGGTTCACACCTAGGCGTTTTACAGCGCGTTCCTACGCGCTGTAAAACGCTCAGCATGTGAAAACCAATAATTGCCTATGGGCATGGTTCACACCTAGGCGTATTTCAGCGCGTAGGAACGCGCTGAAAAACGCCCCACGCCCAAAGAAGTACTGGAGCTTCTTTGGGGCGTATTTTCCGCGTGTATCCATTAGCATACAGCCGGATAGCCCTCGTAAATGCGCGTTTGTCACGCGTTTCTTTTACCGCAAACACGCATATTCCGTACGCCCAGGTGTGAACCCAGCCTTAGTGAATAACCCTGAAAGTCTTATATTCCCAGCTTTGAGGATGGCGAGGTCCCGTTCTCACCACTGCATCCATTGAAACTCCACTCTGGCCAAAATATGAATCCCATCCTATCCTCCACTAACCCATCCAGCAATGTTTTTTTTAAAAATGTTTCTTATGAAGGAATTTATACTTCCCTAAGCCCCTTGGCAGCACTGGGGGCGCAGCGCTGCAGATGTCCCTGGGAAATCCAGTCCCTACGCATTGATTATCACTCCTCTTTTGGTTTCTAAGTGGACCCCACCGCTGGACGGCCAAAAAGAAGTGTCCACGTCATGCAGGCAGTGACATAGACCCCTGAAGAAGGGCCCTGCTGGATGTAAACAGAACAGAGACATCTGTAGGGTGACATGACTGCAGCTTTAGGTAAGTAAAAAGTGATGGTGTTGATTTTTTTAATTATTATTTCAGTGATGAGTTAGAGGGTGCTGGGAGGGGGTTAATATGATCCCGGAGTTGAGCTTTAGTTATTTTACAATATGGAAGCTGTACCAAGTAGCCAATACTAAGCCAGTCCAAAGAATTCCCTTTCTATGTTTGGTGAGGCAGAAGTTGGCATTGAGGTCTCACATCTGGAGCCCACATGAGGCATAAGAAGCCATAGAAGGTGATTCAGGCAGCATCGATGCATTCATTAACTTTAGGGTGGGGGCAAGTCATGAGTAAACTGGTTTTGTGAACTTATTTATTGGATTGTCTGCAATCGCTGTTACAAATCCTTCCATAGAGACTTAGTAGGTTTTATGCTCCAGGGCCAGCATTCTGATCCTAGCTTCAGTGCTTGGTGAGTGACAATCCTGGTAACAAGCATACGGCCACTAAACTATCTGATGACCTTCCATGCTTGTTTCAGGTAAGTGATTTTAAAAAGAACACCGGGCAAATAAAATCTTAACCCTTTGCAGTAGGTCTACCCAACCAAGCCCCACCCCGCACTGCCAGGGTTATGTTTTGCGTAGGGAGCTAAAATAACATATATATTCACCCAAACCGCAATCTCGGCTGACTCCTAGACTGATCCCTTTAGCCTGTCCCCTCCTCCGCTGCAGCGATAGTATATCCCTTGGCGTCCTCACGTCCTATACACTGTATAGGATGTGATGACTCGCAGGACCTTAGACCACCAGAGTGGAGGGGGAGCAAGGTTGAGGGGAGCGGTTTTGGGTAAATATATCTGTTATTTTAGTTCCCAATGTAAAACGAGCACTTAACCCTTGCAGTAAGTCTACCCCCGCACTGCAAGGGTTAAGATTTTGTTTGTCCGCAGTTCTTCTTTAATAGGTAGTGGGTTGAGGATCACAATGTCAGCCCTGAAGTCGGCACTTTTGAGAACCAAGTAAGCAATGGCAGCTCCCATATTTTTGAGCTCACAGGTGCACTTTAAGGCACATGCAGTGTTAAAACAATTAAACATAAGGCTGCATAAGCTAAGATTGGACAATCCTTTATTGATTGCGCTGAGATTTTACTTTCTTTCTCGGTGACATCTAGTCTTTGCCTAGTAACTTCTGGCATGGGAGGTGTCAGTCGAGTCTACTGTGTGGTTTATGCTGAGATTTGCTTCCTTTGTCCTGTCTTGAATTGAAGGTTGCTGCGTGCATAGTCAGATTTTAACCTTGAATAGTACACTGGCACGCTCGCTCGTCCCTGTCTTTGCAGACAGGAGGTTCTCGCTTTTGACATAGTGCTGTTAAAAGTCCTTGCAGCAGAGTTACTGCAGGACAGTTTGTAGTTCGACATTTGGAGGTCTTCCTGTATTGCTAGTGATCTGCCGTACATTTTTTTATATTCTGTCC